GCCTCACACTGGTTCAACAGTACTGGACTCACCTCCGTATGGTAAATGGCCATGACAGCCGTTAACGGCAATCTAGAAACTTGAGATAGTTTTAATACGATTAATGCATCAGTTATATATATATATTCGAATACTTAGGTTATGTCCTCACACCAAACGGTGTTAAGCCCATTCAAAAGAAAATTCAAGCGATGCTTGATATTGCGCCGCCGAAGAATGTAAAACAGCTGCGAAGCTTCCTTGGCATCGTCAACTATTATCGCGATATGTGGATTAGACGATACATATTCTCGCTCCACTCAATGCACTTAATCGTAAAGGTATTAAATGGCACTGGGGGCAAGTCGAACAACAAGCCTTCAATAATATCAAACGTGTAATGGCAAAAGAAACTTTGCTACACTATCCCGACTTTAACAAACCTTTTGAAATCCACACTGACGCGTCCAAGTACCAGATTGGTGCTGTTATCACGCAAGATTCCAAACCAATTGCCTTCTACAGTCGCAAGTTGCGAGATGGCCAACACAATTACACAACCACTGAGCGTGAGCTGTTAGCAATTGTGGAAACTCTGAAAGAGTTCCAGACAATTCTCTTGGGACACAAGATTAAAGTCTACACTGATCACAAAAATCTAACACTCACTCAATTCAATACTGAGCGCGTCCTGCGCTGGCACATGGTTTTGGAAGAATACGGTCCAGAACATATTTACATTAAAGGCCCTGATAACATAGTGGCAGATGCGCTATCACGTCTTGATTTAATCGACGAGGAAGATGATGACTCATCTCCTAGCTCGCCTACACTGAAAATTATGGCACATAATGATGGCGAACGATCATCCGAACCGTCAATTCCTAAAACAAAAAATGCTTTAAAGGCTGATGATGTCACCTTAAACGACTACATGAATATTCGTCGGGACGAACTTCCAGACGATATATATCCCCTTTGCATGTCTCTTATTAGTGCGGAGCAACAGAAAGAATCTGAGCTCCAGGCTGCACTCAATAAACCGAATAGCCAATATACACGCACTGAAGTTCGTGGGGGCAATACACGGTATGACATCATCTACCAGAATGGTAAGATAGTTGTTCCTAAAAGATTACGAAAAAGAATGATGGATTGGTACCATGAGACTTTGGTACATCCAGGTATTAATTGCATGGAAAGAACAATCCAAATGCATTTCACATGGCCCAAGCTTCACAATGATATTGAGAAGCTTTGCAAACAGTGATGTACATGCCAATTAACCAAAAAGACAAAAAAGAAGTATGGCCACTTACCTCCCAAAATGGCAGAAGTCATACCATGGGACACTCTTTGTATTGATCTGATTGGTCCATACGTCATCAAAGAACAAGGCAAACGAAAATGGGAACTCCATTGCCTCACTATGATTGATCCCGCAACTGGATGGTTCAAGATCGCAGAAATACCGGATAAGAGAGCTGACACGGTATCTAATAAATTAGAACAAACATGGCTAGTACGATATCCATGGCCACAACATGTGATACTTGATCGTGGAAGTGAATTCATGGCAGAAGTTCATGAGATGCTTAAAAATGATTATGGTTGCACGGTGAACCAGACAACTACTCGAAACCCTCAAGCGAATGCTATTGTGGAACGAGTCCATCAAATAATTGGAAATATGATCCGAACGTTCTTTGTTGATGACACAGAACTGGGTGAAAAGGATCCTTATACTGGCATTTTATCAGCGGTTGCACTCGCGACGCGAGCGACCATTTACACTACATTGAATACAACTCCCAGTCAATTAGTCTTTGGCCGCGACGCGATGCTAGACATAGAATTCCACGCAGATTGGAATGCTATCAAAAATAGAAAACAAAAGCGCATAAATGAAAATAATCTTCAGGAGAATGCAAAGCGAATTCTCCATAATTATCAAGTCGGTGACCAAATTGTGATCAAGAATGATCCAAGCCGCAAATTTGGAACGAATGCTTATTGGGGTCCATTTTGTGTGAACAACCCCATTTCGAACTTTCTTCAAAACAGAATGGATATGCTGGACTCAGGATGACTGCGAAGATGGCAACGGTTCAAAAGAACAAGGAAGGATTCACTCCAAGACAAGTCAAGGCTGCAATGGAAGCGAGAAGTGCGATGCACATACTCAATGCTCCAAGCACCAAAAGTCTGAAGTATGCAATCCGATCTGGTCTCATCAAGAATTTTCCTATCACTGAAGAAGCGATCAATCATGCCAAAGCAATCTTTGGACCTGACGCCTCTACATTGAAAGGCAAGTCAACAAGACCAACTCCAAAGAAGACACACAATGACTTCTTCAGTCCACCAGAGGAATTGTACCAACACAATCGAACAATTACCGTCTGTATTGATCACATGGAGATCGGAGATGCTAAGTTTCTCACCTGCATTGATACCACTGTGCGTTATTGCTC